TCCTTTGTTTTTTTTTCGGGGTGCGTGGGGGGGGGGGGGGGGACAAGGGAGTATTAGTGATTGTGTGTGTGGGTTGTATTTCTGTCTGTGTTTGTGTGTGTGTGTGTGTGTGTGTGTATTAGGCCCTATGTATTCCAGAATCTTGCTGCACTTTTGACCTTTAAGTTTAGGTGTGATTAGGAATTCCTGCGTCAGGAACTTGCGATTTCCTGCAGCAGAAATTTCTACTCTGCCATTTACAAGCAGCATCTGTCACCTGTTCAAGTTATGATGATGTGACAGCCGAGCCGCTACATGTAAATGCCTGCACACCACATGTAATCAGTCTCTATGTAACTGTTACATATGTGATTCGGGGAAATGGAACTATTTAAATCTTGTCTTTGCAATCTTTCTTCATCTCTTTGAATAAGCCATTTGGTGAAACATGTTAGAGTTGGAGGAGCTTGTGTTTGTTTACAGCATGTTTTTACTTTGGGTATAAATAGTATTGAGCTTGTGATATCAGTCGTTTGTGCGGCAATTGTTTCTGTGAAGACCAGTATCAAGCTGCAGCATGCCCTTTTTTTGCCTGCACCAACGAGAGGGATGGGGCTGTGTGACCGCAGGACAAGAAATATGAGCGGTGACTGCTTTGTTTTTTTTTATAACTAGTCAAATGTTTTAGGGACAAACCTTTAAAGCTTGTCTGTTACTCTTTCTATGTGTAGTACTGGCATACAACCTTGTACAGTGAGGATGGAGTTTAAAGTTACAGGACTGACATTCTGATCCTTGCTTTAGTACCTAGCAAATAACTTTTCAAAAGAAGAAACAATAATTTTGTATCTGTACTCCAGGTTAAATAAAATACAGCATGGCTAAATACTTGTCTGACTGAATGGGTCAGGAATTTGCTTATTAGCTTTTTATTAAAAAATACCAACTACTTAAATATAATCTTGGACATCGCTCACAATATTAATCATTAATCACTGCAAACTTGAAAGTCAATAGATTGGTGGGCTGTAGGGGAGAGAAGCATTCCGTACCAACTAAATATGAAAAAAGGCAAACAAAATCCCTCTATTTTCCAAACTTTGGCCAAATAGAGCTGGAAGTTTTTTCTAAAACCAATTAAGTCAAATAAATTATTATGATGGGGTGGATTAGTTCTACAGCAAACCAATGTCTTTTATGACTGGGATTTGGTAAAACTGCAGGACCTAAACTTAGCTCCAATATTATAAGTGTGGGTACCCTCCCATAATTACTAGCTACCTACTTACATATTAACATGTGCTAACTAATATGAAAGGGTATTAGCCACTTTACAGAGAAACCTCCTCCCATTTCCCTGCTGATAATCAGCCTTTCTCAATGTCATTATATTTTCATGACAATAAAAAAGGAATATACAGGAACTGGTATGTACATCAGGAGACTGTAAACAATTTACTATTCTATTTGAAAAAAGAAATAGAAAACCTTACTGTATATTTTTGTTGTGCAATGTTTCAAAGAGTGTCCTGAAACTGCTCCACGTATTGATATTTCTGGTAGAGATAGTTTAGCGCTGTCCTTTAGAAGGCATGAAAATCTGTTTTATTGAAGAGAAACTCAGTGTTACTGCTATGCAGGTGCTGTGCATTATGCTATAATGTGACGTTTGCAGTGCCCATTTAATCGTTTTTTTTTAAAGGAGTTCTAAACTCTCAGCATATACTAACCTGTTATAACATCAGCTTTGTATTAGGAATATATCCTAGAGTTGTTTTTGATAATGCAATCAAAGCTTACTTTAAAAAAAAATACCTTTTATTTAGTGAGTGCTGCCTTTTGTCTGCCTTCCACTTTCAACAATGTCCTGGATTACCAGAGTGCTTTGTATATCTTTCCCTGTTGCTTGATTTCTCAAGACTACATATCTCATCATGCATTGCTTCCAGCAAGCAATGATAATGTTACATTGTTCAGACACTGAGTTGTAGTTTAGAAGTCAAGCTCTGTGAGTTGTGACATGAGGAAGTGCATATTCACTGGGCTGAGTGAAATTGTGCCACTGCAGTGAGAAAATACATCCTATGGGCATCTTCAATAAGTACAATTACACACTTCTAGATTTCTAGACTTCTGTAATATGGTTATTAGGTGTGGGATTGAACTTTTGGAAATACAATATAGAAATACATATTTATTTCTAGTTTTTGACCATAAATACTCTTCAATTTTGTGTATCAGAAACATAGTTCTGTTCATAAGGTCAGTCCAATATAAGCTTATATTTCACCTGGTGAGCTGAATCAATTGATATTATACAATTTTTGTAGACTCCGGAACTCATAGTTCTCAGCATTGCTACCACTGATACTGGAATGTAACACAGAAAGTCCTCACCTTGGGGAAGAGAGAGAGAGAAAACATATATATGCACTCTACCTTTCAGTTTCTTTAGGCCAGCTGGCATTTAGGTAAGAAAACATAATACAATGTGGGTTGAAGGTGCACACTAGCTGACAATGTTCAACATCTGGGACAAACACAGAACCTTTGTCTCCTCCTTGATAATACACATCTTGCTTCAAGCCAGGTATACAATCTAATTAAGAAAAAAAAACACATGCCAGATCAAAAAGTACACTTTGTACAGTCACAAGAGTGTTTCAATTTCAATATAAAGGTATGGTAAAGGGCAGGGGTCAGCAACCTGCGACTCCGGAGCCGCATGTGGCTCTTTCATCCCTCTGCTGCGGCTCCCTGTCCAGGGGCGGAACTACTGCCTGAGGCTGTGGGGCCCAGTGAGGTCCGGTCCTGGGCACCCCCCCTTGGTGGAATATGCGGCAGTGCAGGGTCCCGGGCCCCGCACTGCCGACGGGCTTCTCAGTAAGGGAGCAGGTCTTGTGACTCACCTCCTCTTGCGTCCGCGTCCCTAGTAACAGGCGGCGGGAGAGGAGAAGTGTGTGTCACATGCCCCGCTCCCTGCATTGCACACTGTCTGGCTGGGATGCTGGCTGTGAGGCTTGGCAGGTGAGTCCAGTGAATTAATAAGCCCAGAGTCCAGTGCGATACTAAGCCCAGAGTCCAGCGCGTTACTAAGCCCAGAGTCCAGCGCGTTACTAAGCCCAGAGTCCAGTGCGATACTAAGCCCATAGTCCAGCGCGTTACTAAGCCCATAGTCCAGTGCGTTACTAAGCCCAGAGTCCAGTGCGTTACTAAGCCAACATACAGTATACCTATATACATGCTATACGTAGCATAAAGGTAAAAAAATTATATATGGGGTGTTATCTTCATTTTAGATGTCAAAAGGGTTTTGTGGCTCCCGGTGTTTTCTTTTCTGTGGGAAACGCATCCAAATGGCTCTTTGAGTGTTCAAGGCTGCTGACCCCTGGTATAGGGCATAGCCATTCAGAGATATGCTTTCTAATGATTACATGAACAGCTAAGGCTGGTCATAATCAGGGTAATAAAAGCAAATAATGCTTTTCTTTGGCCATTATTGACCCAGAAAAGGGCAACGAGATGTGTTTTCAATGGCTGGAGCTGCTCAGATTGGCAAAAGGAACTTTATCCAACTTATTGGAAAATCTACCTATAAGCAAGCAGGTCAAAGTTTTTTTTTTTTAAACCCTCTCAATGCCCTGGTTCAGCGAAAGCCCTCAAACTGTTGTGAGATGCCCCATAGACATTGGATCATTCCCCAGTTCAGCCAAACATGCTTTGCCCAGGCAATTGGTAATTAATGTGTGGGGGCAAGTCAACCTCTGCAGCTATTTACACTGTTAGTATTTTTTTTTTAAATAAAATATGTTTAGTTGTATTACTGTACTGTACATCATTCTCATTTTTTTTCTCTTTGATAAAGTGGCCTATAGGTTATTTTAGCTTGAGTGTTACTAGCAGAGACACAGACAGTAACAAAATACTCATGGCAGTTCTAACTATTCTACAATTTTCCTCGCAACAAAAAAGTATTTGATTTACGTACGCTTTACAAAGACATTTAAAAGGAAGCTATAAAGGTTTGTAGTCAGTTTTATTTTAGTAGATTTTTTTCAGTTAGTAATTGTTAAAAATCGCTGTAAATTAATGAATTTTTTAGCTGTATAATTTATCCATATACACCATATGTGATATACAACATTTTGGCTGGCTTCCCACGTTTGCATTGCAATAGAATGCACATTTTCATAGCATATGGTAGGGTACCATGCACCTATTAGTTATTTAACTTGAAATGGCTTCCCAATACACTAATGCAGCCCACCTTTGTTGCAGCACACCACAACTCACAATAACACACTAGCCTGTGTTGTGTTGTGCTAGTGAAAAAGGGAGAAGTACAGTTTCTGATGCCTTAAGTTGCAATGGCAGCCTATTAAAAAAAAAAAAAAAATGCGCTGCCTTGACACCTTAAAGTCAGTGAGTAAACACACCACAACAGGTCTGAAACCAGCATAAAGGATTCCTAGGGCACAATGGGGTATCTAAGGACACAGCAGTAGGGAGCTTGCCTTATGGCACTGCTTTGTTTAAAAAAAACTTCAGACTAAGCTTCACTTGCTACGTAAAAAAAAAAAAAAAAATATGAATATAATATTTTATAAAATTAAAGCAACATCTACACATCGGAACTCAGCTGTCTTCAAGAGATAACCTTGCTGAAGCCTCTTCAATATCTGGCATACTTCTAGGAGTGTCTAAAACCTCTCCACTGTGCACTGTTTCTGTGTCTGGTAGTGATGTTGAGGGCTGTGGTTTAAGTCAAAGAGCATGGTGGGGGACATAGACATTTTGGGAGTGTCTGATTAAAAAGATTTTAAAGGGAAAGTCCACATTTTCACAAAATGTGAAACATTTACTTACCGCACTTCTTCTGCTCCCCGCTGCACTTGCCTGTGTGATGCCCCCACCAGCCGATGTAGCACTTCATACACCATAAACCACACTTCACAGACTCACAGACTGTAATGATCATAATGCTTGCAAATGCTCATTGGTCAGCATGGTCCCATGACTTGCTGACCAATCAGAAGCACTTCTTACTTCCGGGACCGGGTCCCCAACTTAGATGTTTTCATTGATCAACATGGTCATGTGAGCATGCTGACAAATGAGCGGTCACCTTTTGCAAGCATTATGATTATTTCAGATGGTGAGGCTGTGTAGTGCAGTGTGTGGTGTATGAATCACTACACCAGCTGGTGGGGACATCACACAGGTAGGTACAGCGGGGACCGGGGAAGGTGGGAGGGAAAGAAAGAAAGGGAGGTGAATTGTGCCCATCAGGGTCATAGACAGCAAAGAAAACTTAACAGAAGTACTGACTTTTCAAAACCCTATCAAAATCTAACGGGGTTATTCACAAAGCTGGCGAAGGCAGCTGAGTGAATAACCGAGCCGTAGTGAAGTGAGCCGAACAACGTTCGGCTATTCACTACAGCTCAGTATGGCTGATTTCAGCCGTACATCGGCTGAAATCAGCTGTACATCGGCTGCACTTCAGTCAGCTGAACATGCTCTGCATGTTCGGCTAAGCCGAAGTGTAGAAGGACTTCGACTCAGACGATCCAACATCTGGATCGGCTGAGCCGAAGCTCCTGCAGCTCGCTCGCTGCCGTTCGCCCCTATTCTCATAGAAAATCTTCTAAAGGGGACACCTATCTTCTAAAGGGGGTCTAATAGACCCCTACGTCACCTTAAAGGGGACCTGTCAACTCCAATGTGTTGTCACATAGGGGGCTTGTGAGCCCCCTACTTGATCGCAATTAAGTTAAGTAAAAACATTTTAAAAAATGAAGAAAAATAAAATACATTTAAAAATGCCCAAAACATTTTTAAATTCCCCCGTCCCTGCGAACATGCACATACTATTGCAAACACGCATGGGGGTGGGCCTACGTACGAAAACACCACATGTTAGGTATCGCCGCATGCACAAGAGTAAGAGCAATAATTCTAGGGTGAATATTCATGGGTAACTTTAAATTGATGACGTGTATAGGTTCTTAAACCATCGCCTAAGGACAATTTGGGGAACTGTATTTTCTCACCATTTCACAGATGCACATATTTTTTAAGCTTAGCATGATGGTTATTTATTGACCCAGAACAACTTCATCTTTTATATTTTACTGGGTATTATATTGTGTTTTTGTGCACTAAAATTAAATTAAGTGTAGTTTTTTTTACTGAAATTTTGAGTTTGATAAAGAGTTGCACCAATATAATGCTAAATAAAAATTTGTAACTGCCGCCATTTTATTCTACAGGGTCTCTGCATTCAAGAAATTATTTTTCAGTCGTAGCCCTAATATATAAAAGAAAATATGCACAAAACCACTTAACATTCCCTTACAGAGCATATTTTCAATAACTGTCCTCAATGACACAGAACCCCAGCAGCTTTTTCATACAAGTCTGAGCAATATGCATGACTTGCCCTCTATTGAAGTGTACAAGCTTTTTTCCACAGCACTGCTATTATTATTTCTGGGTGTTATTATTTTATCTATCATCACTGCTAACATATTGTACAGCTATATGCTGATAGAGGTGTCCATTCAACATACCAATTAGAAACAGAAATATAAAGTACAGAAAAGAAAACAGTATGTGCAATGAAAGAGGAAAGGACACAGCACCTTACATTGGTACTCAATAGCACATTCACACTGTGCTTCCTTTATGAACATAATATATAAAAATAGCAACTAATTAAAAAAATATATTTACATAACAGCTACACATGGTAACAAATACTACAAATTTACGATTACTTTTTTATGTCATTTGGATTTTAATTCAGTTATGTACTTGCCATAAATTGCCAGTTATTTAAATATATTTTTATCATAATCAACTCTTTTTAAAAACGTTATGTATATGTTAACTAAATATTATTGAACTGTGTGTATACATGACAAGTGTTACTTACCACCAGAAGTCAAAGTAAAGATTGTAAAGCAGCAAAACGCGGCATAGTGTAATTTCATTCTAAAAGTCACAAAATTTTATCACTTATTAAAATATAAAACAAAAAGATTGATATCAAATAAAATACAATAATATTTGCATTTATACATTTACCTGAAACTATGCTTGCTTAAAATGGGAGAAACTTTTTTTTACCTGATTTGCTTGTTGCTTTTTCCCTGGACTGTGACAAAGGTAACCTCTTGTGGTATATAAGCTTTTAGTTTTCTCTAAAAAAGGGCATGTTTGCATTGTATTACAAAACTGCGTGGGAGCAATGTTTAACTGACTGTGGACATGGTGCAGGTTGATATTTGGCTATGCAGCAATACTGCTATAATCCCTAATCATATATGAGAGCTCAAACATACCAAGAAAAAGGAGGCTTATTGTTAACCACCTACACTTAAACCTCTTCCGTTCAAATGGGACACAAACATTTTTTGTAACATTTTTTTTATATCATCAATATAGAGCTACACAGATTTTTCAAGGTACAGTCAATTAACCCAGGGGAATTAGGAATTACAATTTCATATACATTTTAAACCTGAACAGATGAAATATGAATAAACCACCTTACAGTGGGGCTCTCTCTGAACTGCAATGGATAAATGCTTGTTTTTGCCTAGGATACCAGTAAAAAGCACATTTACTTACCTTATCCCTTGCTCCCACAGGTCCCCCCCAAAAAAGCCTCTTATGTGAGACGCTTCATCTTGCGATACCAGCTGTGTCGTCATTGCATGAAATGCGGAACCATTAGTCCTGCATCGTACGTGAGGACATCGAGGGTCCATCCACAACCCGGAGAATCAACAAGCGGGTGAGCAAGAAATAAGATGGCAAAATGCTCTTTTTTACATGTGTGTCCCTGTACCTTTACAGAGGAATGGGCTACCTCCAGGCATACCTGCTCTTAATTTATTAATTGTTATATATGCTTCAATATGGAGGCTCTTGTTCACTAGAGTTATGGACCACTTGTTACACAGGTGCCTTGATGAGGCATTGTGGCTTCCACGTATATTTACAACTGTGTTCAACTAAATCCCCAGGCGGTGTGTCAATGACAGTCTGGGTTTAGAGGAAGTGGGTTGAATGATGCTGGCAGTCGTTCAACCTGGAAGAAAATTTCCATCTAGCAGAATGGAAGACCTACTGCAGGGGATGTCACTGGGTTCAACTGCCTTGCAGCAATAGGTGCTTTTTTTTATTTTTAATGCTGATGACCTATGTATTTTTTACTTTTTATTTAAAACATGTATATTTTGTAGAAGTTGGCACTGTCCATTGGGTGAAGACAAACATATGGCTGTGAGAGGTGAGTCGACTTCGATAACAGCTGGAAGGAGGGGTAGTGGGCAGTGGAGCGGGATGGCAAGTGTGTGGGAGGACACTGGCACTATAACAAGGTGATTCAGTGCAAGGGGGTAGAAGTTAGGGGGTGGCAAAGGTGCCGGGTCAGTGGAACTGAATGCTAGGGTGCTGGGAGTTGGGAGGAGCATGATAACAAAGTGGAGATGTTGGGTGGTACTAGAAGAGGGAGGTGTTATGGGTACTCCAACTCAGTGGAACTATAGACATGGATGCCATGTGAAGGGGAAGAAGTATTAGGGGTGCTGTGAGTCAGGGGGTTTTGGTGAGGAAGCTGGGAGGGCCGGTTCACACCACAAAGAGTGCGTTCCAGAGCGTTTGGCTCACTTTTTTGGGGGGCGGGAGGGGGCGTGGCAGTTCATTGAAGTCAATGACAACAGCACATGCTACACCGCAATGCCATACCCTGTGTGTGAAGGAACCCACCATGCTAAGACTGCACTGAAGTATTCTACTGAGCTACAAATATAAGATGTAGTTATTTCTTAACAGATATCTATATTCTGAACTTTTATGACCCCTCTCTACTGTCCTTAATGAGAGCAACTGGATTCTATGGAGGAACATTTGGATTTGTGAATTAAAAGCGACATATTTAATGATACCATAACTTGTTGGGGTGCCAATAGAACCACAGATATCCCATATGCACATCTCACTGGACTACCCATCATAATGTTCACAGCAGAATTTTGCTAGTACTCTGTCATTTATGTGCAATGCAAATCCAAATAGAATAATGGCCCCCTGTGCAATGTTCACCATGGTAGAGGCAGAAATAACAATTGCAGTATATGGCTGGGCCCAACACATGTCAGAGCACTGCAGTCTACAAACAGTGACTGGTCCTAAGCTAACCATGTCACTGAGAATGTGGGGATGGCTACATTTGATCTTTAATTCAATTGGTAGATTTGAAAAAGAGGCCAATGAAGGTGGTATCTTTCCTTTTTTTTATTTTTTAAAGTACACCTACCCTTTAAATCTTTAAATTATGCCTCACCATATAAATTATGGATTTGGGAAGGTAATAGGTAATGTGCTAAATATGACTATTTATGAGATGCAGAATTGAAGCTAGAGGTTGGCGTTATAGGGAAAAAAATACAAAGTAAATGCTGCCACTTTAGGATTGCAGATGCCATAAAATTTAAAAATTTGTTTTATAAATGAAAATGTACTATGCCAATGATGCTGTTGGCTTTTCATGTAGTACCTTTGCATGATAATAGCCTATTAATTTATTAAGGTTAATTTGTTAGAATATTATTATACAATATTTTTGTCTGTTTATGCCTCATTCTCAGTAGTATGCTGAAAACTACATGTCACATCAGATTAATGACTGTCAGCTCTCTTTCAAGGAAGAGAAAGGCAACCATTCTGAACAATTCTTCAAAGCTATATTGAGTATGCATGAGCGATGATGACTGGAAAAGTGATTTTAACATCAACTAGTTTATCTGATCAGAAGAGCTGCAAAGTAAATGGACCAGGGCTCGCATTTGGGGAGGGCAAACTGGGCAACTGCCCAGGACCCTCACATTCCTGAGAGCCCCCAGGAATTGCCCCCACCTGGCCACAGTCTTCCCTCATACCTGAAGAGCTGATCCATCTGCAGCTCTC